CTGCGTAGGGTCTCGGGAGGGACGCTGAGTACGGTCTCGGTCATGAGGTACTCGGCGTGTCCGCTATTAGGGCGTGCAGCGGGAGGTTCTTTTCGGCCCTGGATCCTCACGGTTTTCGGAACCTCGTTGCGTCCCCTGTAGCGTTGGATCTCGGGAGGGCCGCTCATTGCTATCTGGGTAAGGAGGTACTCGGCGTGTCCGCCATTAAGGCGTGCAGAGGGAGGTTCTTTGCGGCCCTGGGTCGTCACGGTTTCGGGAACCTCGTTCGTCCCCTATTGCGTTGGCTCTCGTGAGGACCGCTGAGTGTGGTCTCGGTTAGGAGGTACTCGGCGTGTCCGCAATTACGGCGTGCAGCGGGAGGTTGTTTGCGGCCCTGGATCCTTACGGTTTTGGGAACCTCGTTGCGTCCTCTACTGCGTTGGATCTCGGGAGGGCCGCAGAGTACGGCCTCAGTCACTAGGTAGTCGGCGTGTCCACCATTAGGGCGTTCAGCGGGAGGTTCTTTGCGGCCCTGGATCTTCACGGCTTTGGGAACCTCGTTGCGTCGCCTGTAGCGTTGAGTCTCGGGAGGGCCGCTCAGTGCGGTCTCGGTCAGGAGGTACTCGGCGTGTCCGCCATTAGGGCGTGCATCGGGAGTTTCTTTGCGGCCCTGGATCCTCACGGTTTTGGGAACCTCGTTCCGTCCCCTATTGCGTTGGCTCTCGTGAGGACCGCTGAGTGCGATCTAGGTCAGGAGGTACTCGGCGTGTCCGCCATTAGGGCGTGCAGCGGGAGGTTCTTTGCGGCCCTGGATCTTCACGGCTTTGGGAACCTGGTTGCGTCGCCTGTAGCGTTGAGTCTCGGGAGGGCCGCTCAGTGCGGTCTCGGTCAGGAGGTACTCGGCGTGTCCGCCATTAGGGCGTGCAACGGGAGTTTCTTTGCGGCCCTGGATCCTCACGGTTTTGGGAACCTCGTTCCGTCCCCTATTGCGTTGGCTCTCGTGAGGACCGCTGAGTGCGGTCTAGGTCAGGAGGTACTCGGCGTGTCCGCCTTTAGGGCGTGCAGCGGGAGGTTCTCGCGGCCCTGGATCCTCACGGTTTTTTGAACCTCGATGCGCCCCCTACTGCGTAGGATCTCGGGAGGGACGCTGAGTACGGTCTCGGTCATGAGGTACTCGGCGTGTCCGCTATTAGGGCGTGCAGCGGGAGGTTCTTTTCGGCCCTGGATCCTCACGGTTTTCGGAACCTTGTTGCGTCCCCTGTAGCGGTGGATCTCGGGAGGGCCGCTCAGTGCTATCTGGGTAAGCAAGTACTCGGCGTGTCCGCCATTAGGGCGTGCAGCGGGAGGTTCTTTGCGGCCCTGGATCCTCACGGTTTTGGGAACCTCGTTCCGTCCCCTATCGCGTTGGCTCTCGTGAGGACCGCTGAGTGCGGTCTCGGTCAGGAGGTACTCGGCGTGTCCGCAATTACGGCGTGCAGCGGGAGGTTGTTTGCGGCCCTGGATCCTTACGGTTTTGGGAACCTCGTTGCGTCCTCTACTGCGTTGGATCTCGGGAGGGCCGCAGAGTACGGCCTCCATCATGAGGTACTCGGCGTGTCCGCCATTAGGGCGTGCAGCGGGAGATTCGTTGCGCCCCTGGATCCTCATGGTTTTGGGAACCTCGTTGCGTCCCTTATTGCGTTGGCTCTCGTGAGGATCGCTGAGTGCGGTCTCGGTCAGGAGGTACTCGGCGTGTCCGCCTTTAGGACGTGCAGCGGGAGGTTCTTTGCGGCCCTGGATCCTCACGGTTTCGGGAACCTCGTTGCGTCCCCTATGGTGTTGGCTCTCGTGAGGACCGCTAAGTGCGGTCTCGGTCAGGAGGTACTCGGCGAGTCCGCCATTAGGCCGTGCAGCGCGAGGTTCTTTGCGGCCCTGGATTCTCACGGTTTTGGGAACCACGTTGCGTCCCCTATTGCGTTGAATCTCGGGAGGGCCGCTGAGTACGGTCTCGGTCATGAGGTACTCGTCGTGTCCGCCGTTGGGGCGGACGGCGGGAGGTCCTTTGCGGCCCAGAATCTCACGGTTATGAGATCCCGGTAGTGTTCCCAATCGCGGTGGATCTCGGGAGGGCCGCTGAGTACGGTTTCGGTTATTTGGTACTCGGCATGTCTACCTTGGGGGCGGACAGCGGGAGGTTTTTCCGGTCTCGGATTCTTTCATCGAAGTGCGTGTAGGCGCGACGCCAGTCCTCTTTGCACTGAAGACGATTAAATGTGCTTCTTCCGCACTATATATTAGCGACATGACAACACTCCAAAGAGATGATCCTGAACGGCGAGGACTCATCAGGCACGTATAGGGACAAGGAAGCGTTTTTTTTTTCATTTTCATACGAACCGTGCCAACCTTGTCTACCAGAGAAGGATTGCTTCACAAGAACTTCAGCGACAACAACAATGCGTGGCTGTTCGTACATCCTATCAGCCTTCGCAAAGATGTCTTCCAAGGATGCCATGGCGACTGTATTGTTGGGTACCTTGGCTAGAGCAGGAAACTTGCAAGGGTTCGTGAGAAGTATTACTGGCCCAGGCTTCTGAAGACTGTACATAAATACGCGAGGTCCTGGCACGAGTGCCAACGACGGAAGAGACCACCGCCGAAGCCAGCGGGAGCCTTGTACCCGAATGCGCCAGCGACCACCCCGTTTCAGCGGATCGAATTAGATTTGCTCCGCTCATTCCCCGCTTGAACCTAAGGCAGCCGGTGGATAATTGTCGCAACCAATTAGCTAACACGACACGCCGATACGAGATCTTCTGCACCGGGAACTGCCGCGGAAATCGACAAGTTTTTTTGTCGAATGCATCGTCCTCCGTATAGGCACCCCTGACCTCCTGATTACAAACCAAGAATAAACGTTTATGGGTGGCTGACGCAAGAGATACTTCGTCTCAGCCGCGCCAGCCACCGTCGAAGAGCGGCGTACCATCTCCAGAATAACGGGCTGAAGGAACGACTATACAAGACCATCACCGACGTGGTGTCAATGTACGTTGACGTAGAACACAAGACATGCGACGAAGTTTTGAAGTATGGTACGTCCGCCTACAACACAGCGGTTCAAAAGACCCCGTGAGTTAGACGAATTCAGCTGGTTCACGGTCGCAAAGTAACGACAATGCTGAACACGAAACTGCCCCATGAGCCAGCTGACGATATCCAGATGGTTGCTAATATGGCAAAAGTCCGCAAGCTCCTCCGGCTCAGTATTCAATGCTTGACCTTTTCGACGCTGGCCGCTATAACCTCCGTCGTCGGTGCGTCCTCTTCCAACCGGGAGAGAGCGTGTGGGTGTGAACGACGGTCCGTCGAAGCGGCCAGAGTGAGAAGCTGTTAAAGGAATACTTTGAACCCGACAAGAGTTTCCGCCTCCTCGCACACGCTAGCACTGTGGAGGTTTCATGTTCCAGGTAACTCTTCAGTTCATCCATACTTTTGTTTGGATTTGATTTGTTTTGCGGTGCATCGGGGCGATGCACTTTTTATAAGAGAGGATAATGCCGCGGGCGCCGCTAGCCAATTATGCAGTGCGCCCTCGGCCGGATGCTTATGATGCTTGGCTCCCACACAAAGGTCCGCGGCTTGATGCCTTGAAGCTGACTAACTTTTTTTAATTCTATAATTGTCGAGTTCTAATGGATCCGAAAAGCTCGAGTGTTTTACGCACCGAAACTGTTACGCAAATTGTTCCAGAATCCCAAGCGGGTATATAAGGGGCTCCGCGTGCACCGCCAGAGCCAGCATCGCCCCAGCGCTTGAACCTGCTGTTACGCCGTAATCAACATCTGCAACGCTAGACTTTTGCTATTTTCTTTTGGACATACGTCCGCCTCATTGAACGTCTAGTTTGCTTCTGTTTTCGTTGCCTGGTCATTTCACTTTCTTGACAATTATAAGTGAAATATGTAGAACTACAAAATTAAAATAAATCAAATTATCATTTGGAGATGATCAAATACCTCTGATTGGATTTGTACACATTTCTAATAATTGTTTTCATTTAAATTGTATCTGCATTTATAATTACGCATTTTGAAGTGTCTTGCCCATTTATTGTAAGACACGGCAGCTAGTATATTTCCCATATTTGCTTGGAACCAACAGCTTGTAAGGTCGGCTTCGCCTCGATCTATAAGTGAAATAAAGTGTATTAGCGCGCCCAGCGTTTGTACGTTAGCTTCACTTGAGACGACACATATGGCCACATACATTTTGGCCGCTAGGGTATGTCTAAGTATCCATTTCAAGATATTATTCATACAAATTCAAAATTAAATTTTCCCTGTCTTGCTTTTCTTAAAATATATATAAATTGTGTCGTTGAGTCTGAATGTTTGTGGTCCTAATGCAAAATATGAATATTTTTGAATATTGATCGCGCTTCACTAGTATAACATTTCTTTCTAACACAATTGTGTTTAGCCTCTGATTCAAGAAATAAAAAAATGCTCGAAGAATCCAAGGTAGGGCCAACGTTTATCTCCTTGTGTCAGAGCCCTGCAACCTTGGCCTTAACTCGCCAAACAAGTGTAAAAGTTATGCTTCGCAACTGGTAGTTTAGCTGCCATCTGGCAACATTTGCCTAAATCACGAAACAATTGCCAGCGTTCGCTTTTGTGTCTGGTTTTTCGGTTTGCTTGTGACAACGTTGGGCCTAGATAGCCAAACAAGTGCCAGATTTAGATTTGACTGCTGCATTTTTGGTTCATACCGCCGAGTACAACCTCGCTGGAGCGAAATGGATGCTGCATGATTCATCTGGTGTCTGTCGCTAAACATTAGGACTTTAAATATGGCTTGATGAACGAGAGAAAACCCATGGAAACGCCATGGCTTTCCATGGCTTTTCCATTACTTTCCTAGAGCAAAACCGTATTAGGTCAAATTTAGGCCATTAGTATATCCGAACTTTTGCCAAGTTAGACGTTTCTCTCGCTCGTTACCTGGTTTAGTTCTAATAATATACACCTTTTGTATTTCAGAACTTTATCCACAAGTTGCTTCAAGCTTAAAACAAAGCAAAACTGCACAACGGAAGTAAAAGAGCTGCCAGGCGTTTCTGTGAATCTAACAAACATTTGCAAAATAGCCCATCCTAACTTTCTAAAGTGGAATGTTCGCCTTGTAAGAATAACCATTTATTTTTATCAAAGATGGTTGAGTCCGTTCAGTTGTAGTATTTTATGTTTTCCCACATGAGAAATAATGTTCTAACGGCGAGGATTATTTCATATATAACTCTATAGTATTCTGCAAATCTTTGACACCTTCTATAAAATAAAATATAAGCAGTTCGGCTACATATCTACTACAATTAAATCGGTTTACCTAAGCCCGTCAGGCTCTCCAATATATATTCAAAAAAGTAAAATTTCTGAATGTGTGCACATGTTCATTAAAGGTCAACTCCGGTCAGTACCAAGATATTTTAGTTCAGGTTTGATTATGTTTCCCGAAATAGTTATAGACGGTTTTAAGTATCTTGTCTTGAAAGCCTAATATATTTTAACGTTTAGCTAATGCTTACCCCACATCGAAACCAAAACGTTGCCTGCGGCGATCAACATTTCATATCTTTTTTCGCCACATACATACTCCTACAATGTAAAAGCGTGATTACATCAGCTCAGTTACGGAAGTGGTCGTAAGCACTGCTTGCACAAGCAACACCCCCCCCCCCCCCCCCCCCCCCCCCCCGTACAACGCGCCTAACGTCTGCTATGGTAGCTGCAGGGTATTCTATGAAATACGTGCGTTTTGAAGCGCAGTGTCTAGATGGCGTCCCACCGTACTCTATACAATGAAGAGTTTTGAAACGAAAATTTAGATGCCGCTTCAAACGACGCGAGGCGTACCGACGTGACTGAGGGGAGATTCCCTTCTCGGCGGGAGTTGCAGAACTAAGGTATTCATTACCGTTGCCATGTGGTACAAATCGCGACGTCATGTACCAGGCAGCCGGGTGCAGCTCGGCACAAGCGCGATCGTGTTGTATGCTGTGATTGGCAGCCTGGTACGAACGAAGACGCCTGCACTACAGCGCCAGCAGCTTGTGTTTTAGCGCAGTGAAAGACAAGTTTTCCCAAGGGCTTGTTTTGAAAGCATTAGTAGAAAGTTAAGTTCAGTAAACTACACGTAAATATGACGTGACGGGTTGGTAGAAGTACGCCGTGCTCAACATCTGAAACCGGCTATCTCGCATGTGATGGACGCTGCCAGCAATGAAGGATTTTCGAACGGATACACACCAGAGCACACAAGCGCATGCGAATTCCGCGAATTACATGGCCAACTATGAGCACGCAGCGAGAACCGCCCGTAGCCTTTGCTTGAAAACTACCAAAACAAGGAAACAAAACTCTCTAAGTGCCCTGAACATGACGCAGGCAGTGCCTTGTGACCTGCGCCTACACGGTGGTCATATAGAGTGTTAAAATAGGGGGCCCTAAAGAATTGGTGGCCTCCCACTGCGCATGCGCCGAACTTAAACTGAGTTTTGGGTTTTGGGTTGGCGCTCGCTCCTACCACAAAATTCTAGAAATAGCCTGGGGCCCCTGTTTGCTTGGGGCCGGGCTGCGTCGTCAAACATGGCGCCGCCCTCTCCGCTTGCTTTGGAACGAATTCGTCATGGTTGCTGCAGTATCAGCCACGTTCATTGCCAGTGAATGGTGCAGTCGGCTTTCTCTTCGCTTTACTTCGCTCAGGTCACAAACAATGAGGAGTGAGCTCGCCGATTTAAAAAGATCATTTTCTGATTCTGGCCGTCCCTAAGCCTAACGATACGCGGTAACTGTTGACATAGCAACGTATTGCTATTCCAAGGGCCCTAATCTTGACACTTGGCAAAAATGTCAGCGAGAAATGCGGCGGCTCTGATTGGCCTTTTCCAAGCTCAATTGCGGAGTTCGCCTATTACTGCCGCCAAATTTCTCGCCGACGTTTTCGCCAAATGTCCAGATTAGTACCCCGAGACTCCAGGTTGATTTTGTTCGTGTCACAAAACCTGTAGCTCGAAAACTAGTCTTGTTAGGCTTCAAAGTTGTTCCAGCTCAGATCTAAATACAGCAGCTGCTCGCGGGGTACGCTCGCTCGTGTTCGTCTCAATTTCAGCATAGTTGAAGGCCTAAATCTTCGGCAATAGACCGCCAACGTGCTACACGAACGTCAAAAATAATCCAAAAACTAGCGCCAAACTAGAGTGCTACGAATTTAACTGTTTTCGCGAAATAAATACAACAATATTTATACTGATATTTAGAATGGATTTTGCTTCAGCCACCTTGATTTTGTTTAACGCTAGCTATTTTTGTAAACAAAATGCGCTCACTAGGCGCACATGTTTTACGTTTTTTTATATATATATATATATATATTCTTTTTGGTTGTTACGCTCGTTCGCCGCATTGGCGCTGCAAGCGGGAAACGTAACCGTGCTTCGCTGCGTTGTGATGCCCCTATCCTCTAAGCCAGGGGTGGCCAAACCGCGGCTCTTTGCTGGTCCAAGTGCGGCTCGCCGATAACTCGTAAAAAAGCCCCCCCCCCCCCCCCTCCCGACCCGCCCGCCACTTTCCTTCTTTCTTTCCTGGGGAAAGAAGAAAATGTGTTTTCCTCCTTTCCCTAGGAAAAAAAGAAAATATTTCAGAATAAAAAACAGCTTGCGCTTCGGCAGCTTTCTGCCACCATAGGTACAGTCGAACCGGATTTCACGCGGACGTTTCCACAGATCCTGTTCCTTTCATTGTTTGAGAGAGTTTGCTGGACCCTAGGGGGAAATGCATCAGGGACAAGGATTTTCAAACCATGCATGCACCTTGGCTTGGGGTCGCGGAAATGTTCAGTCTCCCGGCCTTTGTCACTTGCCGGTGATACTTGTCCCCTTTAGAAAATGGATCTTCCCCCATATAGCTTATTGTTGAAGGTCGCGGAAGCCAGGGTTGACCTCATTTATAGCTTCCACTAGTCACAGATGTTGTGTTGAAGTTCACAAAGGACCTAGAACATTCTCATTACTATTTTTACCGGCACAGTTGTGACCCGCAGGCTGCTTTGATATACT